ATAGAAAACAAGTCCTAAGTGGTTTTTTTTTGCTTCAAAATGTGTAGTAAAAAAGGTAAACTCGTTAGTTTATAATTAGATATAAAGTACCTTTATGGTTATCGACATTGATACGAAAATATTCGTAACCGCTATTTGATGAATAACCCCGAGATGCAGGTTTTTTTTAATGGTTGGCCAAAATATAAATGAAAAATATTTTTAAAAAGCTTATATCAAACTATAATCAATTATGTACTTACCATGTTGATATACAGTCTTTTATCGTCTTTCGGGTAATTTTAGAATCCACCTTTCACAAAAATTCCTGTCTTTAGTTATAAAATACAGCTCTAAGTCTCGTTTCGTGCTTTCTTTGTTATTATTAAAATCGTGTCCATTCAAATAATTTTGTTAAGGCCGAAACAAGTGAAAATCTGAAGGGACTATGCTGAATACGGTGGATGAGGTAATACATCATTATTTTGATGACTTTGTAACGGTGAGTGTGATTTGGCACAATCATGACAAAATACGACACTTTTACGATTCACCAGTTCTGCGGTCTTAGCGTAAGTTTTCAAATATGTAAACGTAACTATCACGTTTGCGTTAAAATTTTAATTTAAACATTATAAACATCTAATTCAGATCGAAATAAAAACCTTAACGCAAACGCGGTATCTAATTACGTTTGAATGATTATAAATTTACACTCAGGTTTCTTTTCATGAAATGAACCAAAAACTCCCGCCAATTTTTAAAATGCGCGTTAAAATATATTTTTTTAAATGACCATAAACATTGAAAGACATTTGACATTTTAAAAGAAAATATTCTTTTTTGTTTAAAGTTGTCTAGTGGTAAAAAGAAACTTATTCTGCTGATCAAATATTTTTTCTTTTCACAATTTAACCTTGCCATAATTCCAGTATTACAGGACATTATCTAAGAAAACAATATCCAAGTATACTCGTATTTCACGTTGTTTGACATTAATGTGAGGATTTGTGTTTTGTCTTTTTTGTTCCTCGAAATTTTAGATTTTTTTACTGTGGCGTTTGTTCGCACGTATACTTAGAATAATAACGCTTATATGTTTCTTAATTTTTTATGTGTTTCTAACCTAACCTAGTCCTCGCTGGTTGAATCATTTAACATATTTGTATTGTCTTTTTTCAATACATTGCATCTGTCTGAATTTGTATTTTTAACTAGTAGATTGATTAATAGTAGTCCATGTAGATAAACATTCATGCTTAAGATATTTATAATGAAATCCAAATAAACGTTGCTGCAGATTTTTCTTTATTAATGCCAGTAACTGTACTATACAGGATAATACTAGGCAGAAAGTCGATTTCCTATCCAAGCGCAATAGTCTTTGTTATTTTTGTTTTTTCACAGTCCTGTACATTTGCGCGCGCAAGTATTTTTCCTTTTTTTGTAGTGTTTTCACAATTGAATATTTTTCCCATAGACCTGTAGAGTCGTATTTTTAAAGATACTTTCAAATTTCACACATATCGTAATTTCATTCGGAAATTGACCAATTCGAATGGATGTTATAAAAGCTTCGATTCGATAAATAATCAATGTAGAGCATCCTGCTGTACAATTTTTAAGTAATCAAACACATAGAGCATCCTTCAAGGGTGTGCACTGGACCCTCGGTCCCCAGAGCATGACTAATTGCACAACTAAACACGGGGGAGCGTAATCCGATATTGATGCGATTGTAAAAACTATCCGATTAGCCATAGTTTGTTCGCGATTCGTCGCAGCACCGATATTACAACTTAATTTGTAGAATGACCAGTACATGTTAGACAAATTGAGAATCATCACATGTTAAGGTATAGTGAGATCCAATATAGACGTTTTAACGTATTTCATCCACACGGTTAGTCGGTTTTTCGACGTTAAGAATACGAATTCAACATGATTTTTTAATTGAATAAAAACTGAAGACACCGGCAGGGAGCTATGGGGCCAGAAACATGATTAACTAATCAGTTTCATTTGATCGTTATTAGAGATACTTCAATAAAATTAGTTTGATTGTGTGTTTGTTCCATAACAACGACCTCAGGGGACAGTGAGTTTATTTTACAGTAAAAGAGTATATTTTATTTCTAAAAGACAAATGTTTTAATATCGTGAAATGAATTTCTCCGCTGCTACTTCACACGCTTTAAAACCTACGCAACCACGATATCATTTCGCCTTAAGGAGATGTGTTATGCTTTGTGTTGTTAGAGTACCTATACTCTAATAATTATAAAATGCAAAATGGCTACACCAATTGCCTGGTCTCGCTTTAGGGATTTCCCTGTACTATAAATACCAGAGCACAAGAATAAGAAGAAGCAAAGTTTTTAATCCCGTTGCAAAATAATCCTGTTGCAAAAAACATAAATCAATACCAATTTAGAAAAGTTAATTCCTCATGTTAGTCGTTCCAGGAATAGAATGCGGGACCTCTTCATTTAACATTTTATGATAAAAATACTATTTGATTATTTTACCGAAGATTTTCGGTATTGTTTAAAAAGTACATTAACTGTGAAAATATACTTTCTATAAGATACACGAGTACACATAAATACAGGAAATAAAAACAAAGAGATCACAAAATATTCTTAATATTTAAATTTTAAAATAAGAATTTAGTTAATAATAAATCACATAAGTACGTATTTACGTACTTATCTGCGTATTACGCAATATTCAATATTATCAAGTTGCTAAATTCTAGGTATTTTAGATCATTTAAAAGGATTTTACGACAGGATTAAATGAAATATACCATGTCTTCCATAAACCATTTCAGCTGTACCAACATCGACGTTAAAAAAACGATGTTCACTTAAATATTACTATTAATTAATAATAAGCGATGTACTAGTATGTATTTGTGATCTACGCGGCAGAAACCGAATGAACCTTCCGGTTAATTGTTATTTATATGTAGCATAAAGAAGGTAAACTTGTGTTTAGCCTTCAGCTATGTTATTTTCTATATACCTATTACGAAACGCCTTGATTTTCTTACTGAAAATAAATACATTTTAACTGTAATCATTACTCTAATAACATAATACTGTGATAAATCTTAATTATTACGTACTGTATTTATAATATTTGAAATCAGGCAGTATAGCTTAAATACCTTAGCCTGCCCGAAGGACAAAAAATACTTCTACTGTATTTCTAACCTTTTTAATCTTTCCACTCTTTCTATTCAAATTCCAAATTTAAATTTACTTGTTTTATTCGCACTATTACGACATTTTTGTTATCCTCTCATTGTTTTGGTTTGTGGCTGTCGTCATAACTTTTGCAATTAGTTAATATAGTGTAAATAAACTCTGTAAATAAATTATATCTGTTTTTGCTCACTTGTCGTTAGCACACAATAAACATGCGTACAGTCCGCTATAGCTGCATACACACACTAATGCAATGAAACAAGTGTATATCATCAAAAATAAAATAACAGAGACATGACACGATATCGATGAGAATAAAAGAAGAAAATTGCGAATGAGCAAGGGACGAGATGAATGAATAATCCTTAATTTTGTATACAGAGTATTATGACAAAACGCTGTGCCCACATCGTCACGGTGAATTTTACACCGCTCCCATTAGTGGTTATTTTACGAAAATATACTACACTAATTCTATATTCCAGCGTACATTGGTTGTTTAGTAGCGGACCCAAATTTAGAAGCTAATTAAAGTAAGCAATCTATGCCGAATAGTGCTTATTTTTGGTTAGAATATTTGGATTCCGGAATATACCGGGATATGTCCATCGCTCGAGTTTTTATTCCGCGCCCGTCATAAATAAAGTCATCGGCTGAACGCTTTGCAGCACGTGCATCAATTCTGTAGCCTTTTGTTGTCCCTCGATGACGTGAAAGTTTTATATTGACATTTTACGTGCACAATTTTACTTTTTATTCTTTTGTGTGCTTTATTTAGGTAGACGTAAAAGTTAAATTGCTGTACAAATAAAAAATGAAAAAAAATTCACTCATGACATATCCTTTGTTCTCACAATTCTCGTTCAAACATTTAAAAAGACATACAGGTGAGAATTTTCACATTTATAATTTATAGTATAAGTCTAAGCTCTTTTTGCTTTAAAATTTCCAGTTCGATATATACAATATTGCTAATTACGTACACGACGTCAGTTGTTTTACCTGTAAAGTGCGCGTACAGGCGTAATCTTTGTAAATAAAACAAGATATATCTCTATATAATTTTATCAACAAAATTGAAACCTAAAAATTTTGTCGGATGTACCTATGTACGAGTGTGCATACAAAATTATGTACCTACCTAACAATGAGCTAAATTTAAATAAAGTCTTGATAAAACACTTATTTTGTTCTCACGTCGTCATTGTTGACAGAAAAGACTCAGAACAGAATCATCTCACGCGAACAATTCTTTCAGATACAATCAGATTTAAAAAAAAAAAACAAAACAATGCACAGACACAGAGAGAAAGCGAAAATCTTATTTATTTACCCTTAGTAAACCATCCCATCACTGAGGAGCTACATATCTTAATAAAAATAAAATGCGCCGAGAAATGACTCGACCGTATATGCCTCGGAATGAAACACGAAAAATCCTCTTTATTTTATTTACTGGCCCAATGGAGTTTAAAAGGATTTATTCGCCAATATAAAACAAATTCCGTTTCTCGCGGAAATAGATCGGCACGATTGCTGATATACTTGCTCATTTCCATGCAAGTTCAATTTCAACGCGCAATATTGGATAGTCTGCCTTTCTTTGTTTGTGAAGTCATCTCGGCTCTATAAAAGCTACTACGCCATGGCGTTATCTAACAAACGTAGACTTTTTGATACATCGTTTTAATATACAACAATGATTTCACGTGTTGGTGTGATGTAGTGCTCCCTTGATGTTGTTTAGTTATGATTGCCGAAGACAAGTTTGGTACATATTTCATACAAGTAAGGAAGATTTGGACTTACATTTCAACTTTTCCAGTGGCTCGTGATGCAGCGGCGGGGCGTGATGTAACGGAGTGTGTTGAGGCTCGTGGTGCAACGGCGCCATTAGGCTGGAAATGGCTGTTCCCACTGAAGCTGCCACTGATTCGTGCAGGTGCCCTCCACCATGCAGCTCTAGCTCTGAGAGACAGAGTCCGTTTTCGCTTAGCGGCTCCATGCCGGCCGCTAGCGCCTCCTTATACACGCGTAGGTGAATGATGACGTTTGATGGTCACGAGGTGGGAAAGAGCCGCGTTCGCGACTGTCGATTGTCAGTGGCGGATATTAGCACATGCGCTGATGGCACCTGAAAAGAAGCGCAAAGATTAGAATAATTTGAGAAGATAAGTACTTAATAGTAACGCACAGTTTTAACTTTATGTCGATTCCCTCGCATATTTTTAAAACCTACAAGATTGTTGAATAACGTCCATTGTCTCTAATTGACCTCCTCTCACCTGCGGAATTTATGTGCAAAATTGAATTTGAAATTTACCGTGAGCTTTTCGATGAAGCAAAACGTGGTTATGAAATCTGCACGTCGAAGAAGGTACACAACACCAGAAAACGGGTCAAGTCCCCAACTCGCACTGAACCAGCGTGGCAGACTACGGCCTAATACCTCGCCGGTGAGGAGACCCGTGCCCAACAATGGGACTTATAAATAGGTTGATGATGATATATCTGATTCTAATAGGATTACTAACAGTTAAAGTTCGCGAGGCGTGGGAAAACTCACCAATTTTAAACTAGATAATAGTAATTTAAAAACGTACGAAAAATTCCTGAAAGATTGTAAATCAATTCACTCGGTATGATTTAAAGCGAGCGTACACAAGCTGTTTGCGTCGTAAAAAACATAAAGGTCATAAAACACGGAGATATACAACTTTACTACTTTCATAATTCAAATAACCATGTCAGTGGCTGGGCAGCGTATAACTCGCTATTCCACGCCGTAGAGGGAAAAAGTGGGAAAAAGGCCACATATAAGTGATTTATAGGTTTAATTGCCTTTTTTGCATACGAGTGGCCTATAGCGGAAATTCAATATTCAGCAAAAAGAACAAAGCCGCGCTGAAGCGATAATGTGCGGGACGTTCTGAATTCTGTCGGCCAAATGAAGCTTGCGTGTAATTTCCCAATATCGATTTAATTAAGTTTTTATAATTGTTTTTCTTTTTTATGCGCTAGAGAGGAGAGGTACGTAGGGTATATTCGGTGAATTTCACCTTCAACCTTAATACAACGTGTTTCAACTCAATTCCCTCGATTTCTATACAAATCACGCCACAACATACAACCAAATCACACTTGCCATCTTATGACGAAACTTTCTAAGTCAAGAACTTCCGCAAATTAAGCAAAACTAGCAAAAGTTTGAGTAAACAGTCGTGACAATGACGTTTTTATTCGAATATCATCTTGAGTCGAGTAATTGGGCAAAGCCGAAGGCAGCAATCGAGCCGCTGAGCCTCGCTCATCCCTTTAAACCCATGCAAAGCCTTTTTTAAGCCGAAAGATTTAAGTTGGTGAAAGTGGCCCGCTCTATTAAAACACGATCGCGTCGGGTTCGAACGAACGAATGAATCCTTTATTTCAATACGCTAAATTCTTCTTCCATGTCTCATTTTTGAAGCCAATTTCCTAAGGCACTTTGTGGCGAATCTTTGTGTAAAGTTAAATTGTGGAAAATGTGTTATGACTTTTTTACGACACGACAGTGACGGGACATACAAGTCGTGCGACTAGTGGTAAGCGACACTCCTGTCCATAGCAGTTACATCAGAGATTTAAATCGCAAGGATCTGACTTACACTACTGCTGCGCCCGTCACCCTGAGACACAAATTGACAAGTCCCGTGTACCTGTAATATCACCAGCATCCTTACCTTTCAAAACCGGAACGCAGTAATACTCATACTGCGTGGCGGAAGAAATAGGTAAGGTGGCAGTATTTCCGTGGACGAATTCTTTCACAACGAGCCCTACTGCTACTATACTTTATTATAATTCTATCAAACGATAATTAAAAATATCTTTTCTTCTTAATAAATATTTGTTTAAGAATGCACCAGTTGTTACAAGTGAAATTTAGAATGCATCGGTAATTAAAATTAATACTACCTAATTCTAATAAAACAACTCGTAGAGCCGACTTTCAATTTCCAATAACCGACTTAAAAAAAGGAGGAGGTTCTCAATTCGACTGTATGTTTCTTTTTTGTATGTATGTTACGCGATAACTCCAGTACTTGTGTACCGATTTTGATGATTCTTTTCTTGTTGGAAAGAGGGTACCTCCATAGTGATCCCATTTCATTTTGAAGAAAATCATCCACCTCTAAGGGAGGCTGTTCAAGCATGAAGATTCATTTTTATAAATAGCGCCTCAATTTTACTTAAGGAGCAATTATTTTAATGGTTGATTTTGCTATTCTCCAATTCAAGGCGATTTTCTCTCTCAACATACTTTGAGTAGTGAGAACCGATTTTTATTATCTCCTGTGTCAAGTTCCGTATACTGGCGAACTAGGGGATGAATCCAGGTTTGCGCACTTTCTGGTAATCGATTTCAATAAAACTTGGCAAATATATGTAATTTCACGTACTTTTGTGGTCGTTTTTTTTTAGTACTCTGTACTGAGATTATAATGTACCAATACCAACTTAAGTGTCACGTTTAATGTTTAGGAAAATTAGTGGCAGTGAGCTGGCTAAATCTGACAAAAACCCGATGAGGAAAGCGAGTTCTTGAGTGGAGACCACGACTCGGCAAACGTATTGGAGTGATGATCTGCGAAAGGTTGCTGGTAGCTGAGGACCGGGCGAAATGGCGCACACTGTGGCAGGCCTATGTCCAGTATTGAACTGCGACAGGCTGCTGATGATGAATATTTAAAAGAGCATCTGCCACTTGTTCTACTGTGCGTTGCAAAGAAAAAATGCTGTTTAGTTTTTTTTATATATTTTCAAGTGACGGTACGATCAAGTCATGCGCCTGATGGCAAGCTACATGCGTGTCCATAACAGTTGCAGTGCCACTCAGAGCTTCAAATCGCTTACCCTTCAAAACCGGAACGTAGTAATGCTCGCATTACTGCTTGGCGGCAGAAATAGACAAGGTGGGCAGTACTTCCCTGGACGAACTCTTTCAGAATGAGTTCTACATACATAGTAGGGGAGAGGTGTGTCAATTGTAACAGGGAGGCAATTGTAACATCTATTATTTCACGACATTTATTGACGAATAGCAGATGCTCTTGGCAGCAATCGAAGCTTAATTTGATGTTGTTTTACCGAACAAACGTACAGGTTAAAACAGTTTGCGCATGCTCTATCAGTAGATGACAATTTGAAATGTGGCAAGTTTATGAAAGTAATTGCTTAACACAGTTTTTGTTAATGTAGTTAAATAAAACAGTATTACAACGATCAGTGGTGATTTTCGTAGAAGTCAACATCTAATCTATACGTGCAGGTATGTGAGTTGATCAAATTTACGATAGATTTTTATTATCTAAGTCTTCTTTGCCAAAAGGCGGTAGTGGTGCAAAAGTAACAAAACAAGGAGGTACAATTGTAACAAGACAACAGCTGTATTCAAAATAGGTACTTTACATATACCAATGATTTTTTTACATCAACTAAACTAAATGGAACACGTATAGTATACGATACACATTTTGGCATTTTGTTTTTAAAAAAATTAATTGTGACACGTTCAATAGAACCGATTCAGCATGGGAAAAATTTGAATTCGAGGTGAGGTAGTATCGACTGTTAAGTGATTAGCATAAACTTCTGATAAGAGTTTACTTAATGTATTTTTTACTGTTGACGATTTTTGTATGTTACAATTGACTCACATTGCTGTTACAATTGACCCTCTTAGTGCCGCAATTGTACCGTTATTAGCTGATCTTAATAAGTGTCATTTTCTAGAGTTCAATGTACTTTTTTGTTACTTCATTTTATTATTAAATAACTTAAAATGATTGTGGCTAAAAAGTATTGCGCTGTGTTTACTAATTAAAATATTATGAAGAATTGATTTTTTTTTGTTACAACTGACACACCTCTCCCCTACATTTAGTAACATAGTCGCCTATTGTATTCTATTTCCCTTCTACTTATTTGTCTTGTCATTCTTCCAATGACTTTTTTTAGTGAAATAGATTTATTGAAAAATTTGTGCCGACTTGTAGATACATCATTACGTATTAATGATCATAAAATAGGCTTTATGAAACAATCACAAAAAGTATATCCATAAACATAAACTCTCCAGATAGCATTCTTACGGCCAGTACTATCTGTTATATCAAGTTGTCTAGATTACTTTTACTTCTTATCACTTGTGGAACGTAACTGGCGACATGCGAACAAAGGCACCGCAGCATACTTCCAGCACACTTCTAAATCACACCATATCTTTGAGTGGTACAAGCAATTCTATCAAAGTACATGTGTAACACATGTTTTGTGTTATGTTATCTTACACGTATTTTATCTATCGCGTTTCTTTGAAGGTATGTAGTATAGACAATTACGGATCGACAGTAACTAATTTGTGGAGCAAGTTAGAATTGTATTTTTTTAACCCAACTGCCTTCCTGCCTCCTGGTTATGTTTTTCAAGTGTATGTATGTATATCAATTTTTTTCTCGCTGTACAGCCTAAGCGGCTTAATGGATTTGACATATTATGAGGAGTCGTTAAATTGATCTTGATTGTGGGAGTGTCATAAGGCTATAAAAAATAATCGAAATAGTGAGGGGTGAACATTTTTTTATCTCTCCAGCTAAATATATTTGCAGTCGCGATTTTGTTTTTTAAGTAATTTTTAGACTTGTTTGTTAATGCGTTATGATTTTCTAATGGCATGTTGTGTTGTCGCGTGACGTGGAGTTATAGCGATTGCCAAACAAAGTAAAAAGCCGTTGTGCCGTCATTGAACTGCTCTATACAATCTACAACCAACGCATTTATAACAAGCGTTTGTATTTTCATTTGCTGATTTAGTCAAACGCAATTCATTTGGGAATAGAATAATGGTTATGCCACATTTTATAAGCAAACTGTAAACAATCCACAATAATCGTACTCTTCGTATGATAAAATAACTTTTCGGGATAGAGGTATACAGATTCTACTAATGAAATTAGTCAATAACTTCTTTATGCTCATATAAAAAAATTTACATCATCATCCCAAAAGTTTCACATACACATACATAAGTAGGTACATAAGATCATTGACAACAGAATTCGTTTATTGACGTAGGATTATAATTATGTCGCTTCA